TTTCAAAATAGGTGGGCAAAAAACTTTACAAGTTGGAAATTGTGTTAGGGAAAATAAAAGTTAAAAATATTACTTTTACCCTCCTTTTGTTGTAGTCTTAATGTATAAAAATACGTAAATAACCTTGTAAGGGGGAAAGTTTCCCGCCAACCAAACACCCAAATTTTGGACATGACTATAGCTTGCTTGTTATGAGATTGTCTTCAAATTTTTTGGTTTGGCTTGCAGTATGCTGTTAGTCAACTGACTATGATTAGAAATTTAAGGGAAAGAATATCCACTAAATTTCATTCAAGTAATGAAGTTCTTTTACTAGAAAGATAAGTTCCATCCAAGGAAAATAAGATAGGGAAAATTGGAACCATTGCATGTATATTTAGTTGATGCCTGGAATACATACAATTGGAGATGAGAAGATGCATTAGAGGCTTGAAAAGATGTTCACTCTGCATACCTGCAAATCCTATACAACTTCAGGATACAGAATGGCAGTGTTAATTTTTTATATTAGACTTTTAAATCATTTGATGCTTATTTTATTCTCTAAGAATTCAACACTTAAATGCTCATAAGTCACAAGCTTAGTAGTGTTGTCAATTTTTTACTGGTAGGTGTTTTAACCTAGATTTTACATTTGTTAATGTTATTGCCTCCTCGCATATGGTAAACAGGTCCATTTCCAGTGGGATTTATAACATTTCTTATGTCGATTAGCACAAATGATTCCAACATCAATCCCAACTTTGAGGAGCTTGGAAGGATAATAGCAAAGGAGTTGGAAGTTGATAATTCTCAGGTATAGCTAGAGCTGTTTAAGTTGTTTCTAAATCTTGTGGGTCAAGAAACTAGTAATCTAGGGCTTTGGTTCTAACATTACACAACATTGTTTTCATTCAATATGAGAACTGAATTCTCTTCTTTAACTGAATTTTTAAATTGTTTATATTTGATTGGTTCATTTTGACTGATCATATCATATTCCTATCCATGGCCTAATAATATGTATATTTGTATATCAAATCATAGGCATGAGTAGATACATAGAAATTTAGCTTGAACTGGGGAATTCATTTGATTTTGCATGGATATAATGTGCATTTTCTCGGAAGGTTGTGGGAGGGGATGGCTCTGGTCACCATTTCATGCTTTCAGTCTAACCCAGCCTAGCCCACCCTTAGTGCCATCTTAGACTCAAAACCCATCTCAAAAATGCAACAGCATCTATATTCATAACTTTGTGATTGAACATCATGCAATCTGATGGTTCAATTTTTCAGCTCCGTCTGTTGAACTTTACTACCAAGGGGGAGGATTACCTAATAAGATGGGGTATTTTCCCAGCTGCATCGACCAATTACATTTCTAATATTACAGCTCTGGTAATACTGCTGCTGCGCTGCCATGATTCTTAAAAGTATTTTTACATTCAGTTTGATTGTTTTCCCAAATTCACAATAGTATTCGTCTGAGTCTTATTTAATTTTCTTTTGCACATAATTTTATTTTGTACAGGGCATAATACTGCGTTTAAAGGAACATCACGTGCAGTTTCCTGAGAGATTTGGGAATTATCAGTTGATAGATTGGAATGCCGAACCTCCAAAGAAGTTGTATGTTTTCCTTTTCCTTTCCCTTCCAACCATTGTTTCTTTAACAACTTTGCTTTCATGGATTTAATTTATCAATACTTTGTTACTGTTAAGTAGAAAGACATTGATTGGTATATTATTTAATACACTATATAATATACTTATTAAAAAATTATTATTTTTGAAATTGAATGAAAAACAAGAAAACTTAAACTAAAATTTTCAATAGTTGAACTGGTGAGTGTTAACTAATGTGTTGAATTGAACAGTATACTAATAATTTTCCCAAGTAGAAAGCCTTTATGATGGTAATCAATCACCCATCTCTATCTAAAGTATTTAGGACCGGAAATGAAACACAATGGTATAGCCTCCTAATTGCACAAGGATTAGTAAAGTCATGCTTGTGCCAGAGAACATGTTTCACCTTCCCCTCGAAAGATATTGTAGAAAACCCATAGGTTCAATCCTCCACAAATAATGTCCAATTAAAAAAAAAAAGGAAAATCCTCCACAAAGTCTCGTCTTAAAACTAACACTAACTATAGCTTTGACACACGTGCTGCATTGAGATATGGGTTTGGATCCTACATTCCTACTTGTTTAAAATGGATCTGGCAGTTCTTTTTCCAGCTTTCTACCCCTCAAAGGAGAGAGATTAAACATGGTACTTTTGGCGCATTTAAGGCATCACATGTCTACCAGAACCTAAAATAGGTATACAAATTAAGAATGCACATGCATGTACTGTTATATGGTTACCGGTAGTAGTAAGAACCCTAGGTGGAGGAATAATGTACTATTTGGAAAAAGACGAGTGGGCTCTCCCCAGAGTGATGATGGAATAAAGTTTACAAAAAAAAAAAGTGTGCTTAGCAAATAGGCCAAAAGATTAGCACAGAGTGGTTGGGAGTTGGGACCTGGTAGGTGCTGTGGTATGGACCCTTTTGGAAAAAGGGAAATGTGGGGTAGGGCAGGCCAGTGGGGTTAAATCTAATGTCATAAATTCCTTTTTGCTTATCCCTCTTCTAAAGACCTAACTGAGATTCAAGTAACGTCTGGTTTCTTTTGGAGCAATTTCAGGACATGGTGGCAGCAGCACTATATCGCAGTGTTCACTGGTTTAATTATTACAATGCTTATTGGTTCTCTTGCCATTGGGATTTGGTTAGTTCGGAGACATAGACAAAGAGTGACCAGTGCTTATGAACCTGTCAATGCCAGTGGTCAAGAAAAAGAGCTTCAGCCGCTAAGTACATAAATTTTCATCTGATCATGATTATTTTTGTGCTTGCTTTCTTTCATATTTATGATCTAGCTAGCAAGCATGATGTGCTTCGAAGATCAGATTCATCCATACAGGGATCAAAATCTGGATCATCCTGAATAGAGATTTGCTATTTGCTGCTGTTTTGTACAATTAAAAAGAAAAAAAAAAGGAGGAAAAGAATAGAAAACAAACTATAGGGACGAGAATCTATTATCAATAGTTTCAAGCATCATGTATGTAGAACATATCTCAGATTGAGCGATAGAAAATATTTATTGGCAAGTCATACAAAGATCTGCTTTGTTAAAGGAATTATATAGTCAGTAACTATTACAATTACTACACAAGATTAGATTAAGCAGTGCTCCATAATCCATATACATCCTGACTCGTTACATTTGCAATTTCACTTGCTGTCCAGAAGACCTTGCCCGCCACAAGCCTGGCTCCCCAACCGTTTTGTTGCCAATGAAGGGGAAGGGGGGACTGGTTGCCTAGCTAAAAGCATATAATATGAATACAAATGAAAGTAATATTATTATTGTTTACACCTAATTTTACAACAAATAGAGTGCTGCCACGTGTCACTTATGATGGCAGATATTTTGTTAGTTGGAAGTTGGTGTGGATTTCTTCAGATGAGATTGAATGGTTATTTCCACAACGGCAGCAAAACCGTTCTTTTGTTGCGAGCTTCCCGGAGGATAATTGCAGCACCAACAAATTAATCAATTTGTTGTAGATATTATGCTGTCGTTGGTCTTTCAAGATGCTGCCGCAGATCTCCACCATGCTGCCAAGGTGCTATAAATACCTAATTATAAGATCAAGCAAAGGATCGACATCTCACACAAAAAAACTCAGCACAACTTCTCTTTATACTCAGACTCGTCTTAGTTTCAAGCCTTTTAATTTAATTTCAGCTCTACGCTTCAAC